ATATATATATATATATTTATACGCATGTATTTGTATGTCTATGCTTTCTTTAAAGGAAGCAAGGGGATCGTTTGAGAATATTGATGTTGCTTGGGTGGCCTTGCTTGTCCCCTCAACAGCAACAGGATCAGACAACGCGTTACATGGGACATTTACTGATTACACACATTATCGATCAGTTTAATATCAATCGGAAAATTGTTTTACAGGTTTTTTCTTAGGATATTTAAAATAGTAAAATTATTGAAAATGAAGCTCTGTTTTCGGGCTTGTTGGCAGTTTTTATTTTAGGTGTTTCATAGTCTTCTGAGGGCTTATCATTCTGACCCGAGGGAAGTAGTCAAGAAGTCCTTAGACGTTCTTACGCCTGCGATGCCGAAACGTGTGGATGATGGTTGCAAGCAGATGATGACGTTCGTTAAGAAAACAATTTTAGAAGAAGGTCATAATGGCCTCCAGGTGTATCACTGCTTGTGAGTTTTTTTCATGAATTCAGGTGTGGTTTGCGGCATGGGCTTTATGTGGTAATTAAGAAATAAAGAAACTTTAAGGGGTGCTAATGAAGGTAAACGCGAAACCTAAGCACAGTTGAATATCTTGGACAGTGATTGTAGGCTTAATGGGATAAATCTTAGGACTAAATTATTGAATAGTAAAACACATTTAGATCGAAGGAAAGCTGAAGTTTTGGGTGACATCGAACAGCTTAGCAGTTTTTTAAATTTTTTATGATGGAATTGAATAAAATTGTGGATTAGCGAGAAGCGCAGACGGTTTTTTATAAAAAAAAAGGTGTTTTAGCGGGTATTGACGATGGAAAAGTTGTTACAAAGAGGCCGTGAGAAATAGCTACAGTTCGATAAAAAGTTGGGAAGCACTGATTAAAACTATAATTTTTCAGAACATTGGTGGTGAGGCACTACAAAATTTACTATGGCGTACGCCATTATATGATTCAGTTTCTTATGAATGCCATTCATCGCCTTATAACAATGCAAGGTTCGCTTGAAAACCGTCGTGTTGCAATCGATGTTTGCGAAATGGTGATTAAATGGGAACAGCTGAGACTCAAAAACGTAATATTTGTTTGCTTGATCATTTATGCTTATTGGTTTTTCTTGGAAGACTTTGGTAAAAGTTTTCGCGGTTTTCTAGCTTTTGTCCTTTGTAGCAAGAGGAGGCTGCTTCATCTGGCGAAAGAAGTTTTGAACATGTGAATGAAGGGACGCAAGGAGTTGCAACTGGACACAGAGATTCTACAAATCCGGTAACGAGCACACCACCCTTAAATGCTGCTGGTTTGCCTGGTTCTTTTTCGCAGCGTCACGATGAAGAGAACGAGGTGATAATTTATTAAAACTATATTTTTGCTAACGGAGTCATTATCGTAACACAGCTTTTAGCACGTTATTTTTTTCATAATATTTCCAGTTACTACAGAAATTGTTGGCAGGGATGATCACTCTTTGCATAAATTATATATGCTTTTTAGATATTGGGGAGTGCATGCTTCCTTTGGCGTTACTTTTATGTTATATTTGCTTGCTCCTGATTGGATACGAACTTTGCACATCATTCTTTCCAGGTAAATAAACCGATAGAAAAAGTCTATGTCGACAACGTTACGACGCTGTTGCTGAAAATGGCTATAAATGTTCCAGATTCGGTAGATCTTCAGTTCTTTTTTTTTTTTTTCAACAAAATATGAATGATTTCATTCTTTCTTTTCTGACTGAAATTATGTTGTTTCAAGAAGAATATCAGTTTAAAATTTTTTCCGAGGTTCCTGTTTACACTTGGTTTAGACAAACCCTCAACAAGTTGCTGCACTTGAACAGCTGAATAAAAGAAGCCTTGGGCTACTGAAAGCCTGCCTCAAGCCTAATATGTGGGGTAACATAGCGACGATTAGGATACAGTGGTCGAACTTTGTTATTGCTTTTTGTCATTTTTATTTACATTTACTGGTCAGCTTATGGTATATGTATTCACATTCCTAAAGTAACTCTTGTGAGTTTTCAGGCTGGAAAAACAACTTCTTGCTTCTGTCGACCCTGCTACTTTGCAACAACATCGAGATACTCAAAATTTTCTGACTCACGTCTCTCTTCAAGCCCAAGCTATCATCGATTTATACACACAGCTCGTGAGCATGCTGGTTCGTAATAACCTAACCCTATAAGATATCAAAGAAGCGTGATGAAATAAAACTGATAGTTATTTATATGAAGCTTTTTTATTTCGTCATTTCGATTTGGGACTAGTTACTAGGGTTTGAATCATTTTTACCTGTATAGTTTTTTGTCTTTATTAAGTTACAGTAACGCTTTTTGTAGCCTCCCGAGACGATGTTGAAAACAATGCAACAAGCTCAGCGTGGAATTGTTGCGTGCCTAAGATCTCAACAGGCGGGAGTGAGTTTCTATATGATTGTATATAATCTGAAGTATATCTGTATGTGGTCATGCAGGCACAAGTGGCAAATTTTGAACTTGTTTCTTTTACTTTTGACTCTAGAATATGCATTAATCTTCTTTGCTGGTTTCTAAAATTATTTTCTTGTACTATATGTTTTAGGTTTTGAGAAGTTTCTACCAACTGATTACGAAGCTAATGGAAAGGACAAAAAGTACACCTGAAGGACTTATAGAATTAGATCTTGTAAACCAAAATATTGCGAAGTATATAAACGACACGTTTACTAACTATGAGAAGTTCGTATTAGTGACATTTTTCGTTACATACCGTATGTTCTCGTATATGAGTTCACAAAAATGGTAGTTACAATTGTGAGGCGGAATAGCTTTGTTATCTTTATATATGATTTTAATGAGGCGTAATTGTGAAGATGCTGCCGTTTTTGAGTTTTTTTATTGAGCCCCAAATTTTAGAAAATTAAATGTAAAAGTATTAATTTGCCAAAAATTACTGATGTCCAGTACTTGGAATTCAGGGCAGATTGTGTTTTTATCGTACTTATTGAAAATCATTGCGAAATCCTCATTTTTTTAGAGAGTTATTTTGGTGATGTTTCCTCCATCTAACCAGTGCAGTGGATTAAAGTAAAAAACTTAAAAAAGCGGAAAAAGATTTTTAAATACAAATTTCATTTCAAAAGCTGAGATATTTTCAGCCAGTTTTTGGTTAAAGGAGTGTATAGAAAAACCCTTGACAGCGTTTAAACAGTCAACTTCACCTAAAAAATCACCACTTTAAATCTCAATTTCCTGCACTTCTAGTAAAATTAATCTTTCATTAGGTTTGGTCCCGTAAATTTGACAGAATACAAACTTGGTTTTTTTGAAGGCTCCAGCTGTGTTACTGCTGTACTGCACATAACAGAACCTTCAAGGAACTTTTCTAGGGCAAATTTAGTTTCTGAACTTTACAGTGGAAAAGAAATTTCTTGAAAATTGCTTTTTGCCTCAACGCTAGTTTTTTATTTACAGAAATCAAGCTCAGCCTGTCACTACTATTTATCCGGCAATTAACATTCTTCGGACTATGTGTGCTTCCCAACCGGCTTATGTAGACACTGTTTGTTTATCTTCTTTTCTGAAGGCGATACAAAGGCTCGTTAAAGATCATATAGCATCATCTGGGAAAGGAGAAAATAAAGGTTCATATTTTTTAGAATTGTCAATGCGGACTTTTTTGTAGTTTTTTTTTTTTTTTGAAATTTTTCAAAATGTCTCACTGTATACTGGTTATGGTAGCGACGAAAACCAATACTTTTGGGTTTTAGTTGTTCCTGCTCTTGCTGAATTGATTATTTATTCGCTTGAGTTATTGCGACCACGCATTCACGCTATGCAGTCTGAAGCTCGAAGAAATATTGGTCTTTGTATATTGCAACCGCTAGTTGAGAAAGCTCAGATTGACAGGGTCTTAGAGGTTGTTTTGAAAATGGTTGATGAACTTGTGAAGACGGGAGATGAGGTTAGTTCTGTGTAGTTAAGAATTTATGATCTTTTTTTATTCATTTGAAGAATTAATCTTTTCTTTCTTTATTTGCTCTATTACCGCTCCACTGTTTAGAAGCAACCGAATCAGGGAGTCCCCCTTTTAATCCGGTTAACACAAGCATTTGAAAACCAAAATCGGCATAGAAGCGGTGGTGAAATGCTTCTTTATCTTCTCAGAATTGTTCTTAATGTTTATGAGACACCACATTTGCGTTCTACCGATGCTGCGGTTAAGCTCAGCAACGCCTTTCATTGGGGTTTATCTGTCCAGGTTAGTTAACTTGCCTTTCTACAGTTTGGCCGAAGATAGTGTTGAATAAAGTTGTTTTTGATTTTTTACTGTTAAAGGATTACTCGATTTCTGCGCATGTGCATTGTTTTCTGCCTTATGCTGTAATTATTGTAATTTTTTATTTGATAATTAGCGTTGCCATGAATTCTTTGCTCGTGTTAGACATATTAACGGCTCTAGGAGGTTTCATTTCTTTACTTTTTTGTATTATTCAGGACGAGGAAATTCGCAATCGTTTTTTCAAAGTGTTTGATGCGCAAGTTTCGCGAAGACTGTATGAGCGCCTTTATCATATTGTTGCGCTGCAGAATTGGGGCGATATGTACGACACTTTTTGGATCAAGCATTGTATTAATGTCGGTTATGCTTTTATACATTAGTTTTACAGACTTATCTTTAGAACCTGGTTGATTTATTACTGTCCTCCTCCATCAACTTCATTCCATGTGATTTTAGTAAATCTTTCACACCTTGGTTTTTCTAAAATTTGCTGAAAATTTGAGGTACTTTTAGCTTATGCTGCTGTCTGTGATAGAAGAAAACAAGGAGGGAGAACATTGTGCCCGCACTAGACTTCTAAACTGTGCTACCTTCTGGCGCTGTTTTGAGATGTGCTTTCGGCTAAACGACTTACCCTTCGACAATTCTGACATGGAAGGAACAGCTATGCAGTACAGCATATCCAATGACGCATTATCAATGGACTCTGTCCTTAGTTCAGCTCAGCCGGAATCAGCGAACCCGGATGCTGCTGGTAGTGTGCTTTTCCGTTGAATTTTACTTTATTACGTCATCTTTTTCAGCGATGTTCTGGCCTGTTGGTCTCAAATTTCTCTTCAGTTCGCTGGAATGACTTGCCAATTGAAGAAGGCTGTGATTTTCTAGAAGCATTGATCAGGAAGCAAAGCCAGTTGCTTTACTGGGCGGCAAGATTTCGCATAACTGATGTAATCCCGAGTATCATTGA